GCCGGGGCCGCGGGGGCGCGATGCGACGCCGCTTCGCCGCTTCGCCGCGCGCGCGCGCCCGTGGTCGCCCGAGGGACGCGCCGAGCCGCGCGCGCGGGCCGCGCGTGGCCGACCCTCGCGGCCTCCCGACCGGGACGGACGCCGCCGAGGCGTAGGGACGCGGGCGGCGCGCGGAGGGCGGCGGGCCGACCGTCGTGGGACGACTCCGGCGCCGGAAGGACGACGAGCGCCGCCAGCCACGCGGCGATGGCCTGGGTACGCACGAATCTTCGAAGAGGCTTCGAATCCGCTCGTACTCGAGCGGTCGCGACCTCGATGTTCGGCTCTTCCTCGAGGACTCGACGAGAGCACACCATTTGCCCAAGAGTCTGCCACGGTTGGCTTGACCGAGATCGAGAGGTGCGAAACGTGGCCGGACGGGCCCCGCAAGCCGGTAGTTTCCGACGCGGCTGCGGGCCTCGCGGTCCGCGGCGCGGCGCGCCGCGGCGAAGCCCGGCGCGGCCCGGGCCCACGCGGCCTTTGCGAAGACCGAGGGCCACTCCGGGTAGGCGAACCTGAACGGGCGCCTCGCGCGCGCGAGCGCGCGGCGACCGGTCCGCGCGACGCGCCGCGCGCGGAAAGAGGCGGAGACGCGGCCGCGGGACGACGCGTCCCCGAGGACGCTCACCTCGAGCACGTCTGCGCGCGCGGCGCGCTGGGCGGGCGTGCGAGTGCGCTGCCGGTCGGCGAACCTGCGCCGCGTCGGTCCGCGGGCGCGCGCGCCCAAAGACCGACCCGGCGTCGCGCCGCGACTTGATCCGCGCGGCGCATTCGTTCGTCAGCAGCCGGCGGCTCGCGGCGAGCGCGCCCGCAAAGGCGTCGAGCTCGCCGCGCGCCGCGACGGTCGTCGTCCACCTGGGGCAGGCGGGAAGTCCCCGGCGGCCCGACGGCGTCCTTCGGCGGACCGGCGCGCCTTGGCTCGAGGCGACGCGCGGCCGCCTCGCGCTCGCGGCGCCGGCGCCCACGGTGGCCAGTCGTCGCGGTCCCGCGCCGCGTCGAGAAGCGCCTCTTTCGCCGCGCGCGCGCTGGCCGTGCCGGTGCCGTCGTCGAAGGCGTAGAGGACGTCCGCTACGACCGCGCGGTCCCGGGCCATGCACCGCGCGACCTCGAGGGTCACGGACGCGCCCGGACCCTCGAATACCAGGAGCTTCGGCGCGTCCCGTTCCCGCAGCCGCGGGATCTCGCCGCCCGGGGGCACGAAGCGATCCAGGGGCACGACGCCTGAACGCAACGGGCGCGAGCTGTCGGCGCGACGCGCCGGGACGACGCGCGCCGTCGCACCTTTGCCCTCCTCTCGCTCCCAGGAGTGGCCCGAACCGCCCTGCGTCCACGTCTCGAGGGCATCGGTGTCTACCCTGCCCTCCATCGAGGAGGGGGGCCGGGTCCCCTGGGATAAAAGTCGGGGTACCTCATGCCGGGTTCTTATTATTATTATTATGGGTGCTTTAACGTGGGACTAGGTCGGCGGCCCGTGGGCGGCCGACGGCGCACGCGGATCAGGTCGGATATCGTGAAGATGACGCGGCCGAGAGCCGAGGTGTTCAGGTAACCGGAGCAGCTCGCCCAGAGCGGAACCAGTAGGCCTCGAAGCACTCGCGCTGCCGGAGTCCCCGGATGGGCTCGATCACGGCGTCCAGGCTGATGACCGCGACGGCGAGGGCGGCGGCGAGGAAGGAGCCCGCCGCGAGGCCGCGCGTGACGCGCGGCGCCGTGCTGGGGAGCGACGGCGTCGGCTCGGTGCTATGCGGCGACCTCCGGCGGCCGTCGCCTGGGGTCGTCGACAGCGGTCGCCGGGCTGCTATGCTGGTGGTATGCGCCTGCTATGCTGGTGGTATGCGCCTGCTATGCTGGTCTTATGCGCCTGCTATGCTGGTTTTATGCGTCTACTATGCGCCTGCTATGCGTCTACTATGCGCCTGCTATGCGCCTGCTATGCGCCTGCTATGCGCCTGCTATGCGCCTGCTTTGCGCCCGCTATGCGGCCGCTATGCGTCTGCTATGCGGCTGCTATGCTGGTGCTATGCTGGTGTATGCCGTGGCTGGTGTATGCCTGGTGGTCGGCCCCCTCTGTGCATGCTGTCGTGGGGTGGTTCACTGCCGGCCTCTGTGCACACCCCAACATTGGCATTGCGGCATTGCGGCATTGCGCAATGGTTAGCATGCTGCAGCTGAAGACCACCACCCAGCAGAGCTCACTAGCTTACCTTCGCCCACCCAGCTGGGGAGTTCAAACTCCGAGTCCGAGTCAAAGTTTCCGACGATTTCAAGCTACCGTGACTTGCTAACCTTAAGCTCCCGAGTCGTACTGGCCACCCGTGCCTACGCCGCAACTATCATCTGCTTCAGCTACGACGGCCACGCACCGCCCTGACTCATGCTTGCAGCACACAACGCCCAACGCAATCCACCATCCCTGACTGAATTTATGACACTCGAAGAAAGATACATATCAAGCTCAAAATTTTCTCCGCGGCAAAATTTCGAGCGTTGTGCCATCCGGGGGTTCACGCCATGCGCCCGGCTAGCCGCCGGGCGTAGCCCGCTCGCGCGCGGGACCCACTGGGTCCCTCGCGCAGCACTGAACCCCCGGATGGCCCCCAAGGCGCACCAAG